ATCAAAACTTGAAGATTCTAGCTTCTCTGCTTTGTCAATATCTTCAATTGTTTGATTCTCCATGAAAATAATATCACGGCTTTTCAATAGTTTCTTCTCAATTGGATCATATAGCCTGTAACCAAATTCATGAATGCTATATCCAATGAAGATGCACTGCCTTGTCTTGGCATCTAACTTTGACCTCTCATCTTTCGGCACATGTACAAAAGCTTTGCAACCAAATACTCTCAAATGGTCATAGAAAACATCCTTTCCATACCAAACACTATTTGGTACATCACTTTGCAAAGCAACAACATGAGATAGATTAATAACATGTGCAGCGGTCAATAAAGCCTTACCCCAAAATGAGTTCAACAACTTTTCTTCAGAAAGCAAACATCTAACTCTTTCCATCAAGGTCCTGTTCATCCTCTCAGCCAAACCATTTAGCTGAGGAGTCTTCAGAGGAGTCTTCTGGTGTCTAATGCCTTGATGCTTGCAGTATTCGTCAAATGGTGGTGTCTAATACCTTGATGCTTGTAGTATTCGTCAAATGGTCCACAATATTCACCACCATTATCAGTACGAATACATTTCAGTTTCTTTCCGATTTCTCTTTCAACTGAAGTCGAAAACTTCTTGAAGACACCTAACACTTGGTCTTTAGTCTTCAAGATATAGACCCAAAGTTTCTCGAGCAGTCATCAATAAAATTGAAAAAGTAGAGTGCACCACCCAATGTCCTTGTCTTCATTGGACCACATAAATCAAAGTGCACTAATTCAAGCAACTCTGTCTTTCTTGAAGGAGGGTGGGACTTAAAGGAAACTCTATTTTGTTTACCAGCCAAGCAGTGCTCACGCTTTTCTAATTTAGCACTTTTAAAATTTGACATTAATAATTTCTTCTTGGCTAGAACATTGAGTCCTTTTTCGCTGATGTGGTTAAGCCTCTTGTGTCATAATGTTGAAGAGTCATCACTCTCAACCGCATTTACCATATCGACACAAGCAGAAGTCGTAGTCAAGTATAGACCACGACGTTTGTTACCATGAGCCACAACCAAGGAACCCTTAATGAGCTTCCATTTCCATCACCGTTGGTACTAACATATCCTTCATCATCCAAAAGACCAACAGAAATCAAGTGCAAACGAACATCAGGAGCATGTTTCACATTGTTCAAAACTATTTTAGTTCCAACACTAGTTTCCAAACAAATTGTACCAATACCAACCACCCTAGAAACAATCTCATTACCCATACTCAAGGTTCCAAAATCACCAAGAGTATAGGAAGAGAAAAAAATCCTTCTTTGATGTCACGTGAGATGTGGCATCAGTGTCCACAAACCAGCTTGACTCATCATAAGCAATATTTATCATATCTGCATCAAGGACGGTAATAAGATCTTCGGTGGTGACGGTGGCTAGGCAATTTTCATTGCCATCTTCTTTAGTTTCTTCTTTGTTTTTGTTCACCCTCTTCAACTTCCTGCAGACCTTCTTTGTGTGCCCTTTCATGCCACAATGATAGCACTTAATATCTTTAAGCCTTCCTCTGGATTTGCTCCTATTTTGTTCTCTATTCTGAGAACCACGAGTTTTGTTTCTCCCCCTAGAGCAGGTTATCAGGATATCCGATGAAGAAGAACTTTGAGATTTTCTTCTCATCTCTTCGTTCAAGACACTACTCTTGACGGAATTCATAGAGATCACACCATCCGGAGCAGAATTAGACAATGAAGTTCTAAATGTTTCCCAAGAGTCTGGTAGGGAACCAAGTAAAAGCAAGCCTTGAATTTATTCATCAAATTTGATGTCCATAACAGATAATTGGTTCATGATCACCTGAAAATTATTCAGATGGTCTGTCATCGGAGAACCATCATGAAACTTTAAACTCAACATCTGTTTTATTAAGAACATTTTTTTGTTGCCAGTCTTTCGAGCATACAAACTTTCAAAATGCTCCCATAGGGTTCGAGCATGTGTCTCTCCAGAATATGGCTCAACACATTATCGTCAACCCATTGCCTAATGAATCCACAAACCTGTCTGTGCAACAGATTCCACTCTTCATCTGTTTTATTATCAGGCTTTACAGTGATAAAGACTGGTTGATAAAAATTCTTGACATAAAGCAGATCTTCCATTTTCCCCTTGCAAATGACATAATTAACACCATTCAAAGTAATCATTCTACTTGTGTTGGCTTCCATTGTTTATCCCCAAAAAATATAATTATTGCAAACCAAAGTAAATCTTTTCTGATGTGGAAGTTTAGACTGTGCTGCAACCACAAAGCATACTCAAATAAAATCTTGGCTCTGATACCAGTTTGTTGGGAAAACACGGACAAACACAAAAATATATATGGTCAAAATAATGGAAAAATAATGACACCAAGAATTTACGTGAAAACTCTTTTCAATAAGGGAAAAACCACGGGCTAAGAGGAGCAATTGATATCACTATAGTAAGGAATTTTACACTGTGTAGTCACGAATACAATACTCAAAGTGACTACTACACACTCAAAAGGAATAACACTCTTTTGATTTCCACCTTACTAAAATATCGCTCACACTCTATTTTTCTTCATAGACTATTTTTCTTGTATAGTCTATAGAATACCTCACTTTGCTCTCAAAATGATTTTTTCTCTCTAACTTGGTGTGTTCTACAAATGAGTAAAAATGCTCTATTTATAGGAAGAGAAAAACAATGCCTATGTCACTAATGGCATAAACAAATGTAACAAATTTCAAAGGTAAGTTGCAAATCTTATCAATTTGCCAACAACCAAATCTTTTATTTTCAACTCATATTTGTTGTCACTATTCCTTTTTAACAATTGCTTGTAGCAATTGAGTAGCAAAAATTGACTAATGTAAAAAACATGGTATGGACCTCACGAAAGCTTAGTTCCAATTATACCCTTGAATTATTATGAGATTTTCTATTTTATGTAATCGGAACAAGGTAGATAATTTCCGGACAATAATATTTTTCTATGGCCTTCTAACTAGCTGGGAGAAGAACAATTTTGTTGTCATGTTTGCTATTTTCTCACTTGAATTATTTGAGGGTAAATAATTGTCATCTTAATAAATTAATCACTTAAAAATTGTTAATTTTCAATTTAGAATAGATAGATCATCTACTTTAAAACCAAAAAGACGGTAAACAATAGTAAAAATTGAATAAATCATCTATATTTATACATAAAAATTGCAAGTTGTAGTTTTAATATGTATGCAATTTATAAATTGTTCAAAATACAAACAATTAGAAACCACACATAAACCAACAAATAATATATTCAATTAAGATCACAAACGTCATGTGGTGATGTATTCACCTTTTCAATTAGTAAATGTTAAACAACTCACATTTTAAATATTATATTGATATGTATTGCATTTATTTATGAACAAAAAACTCTCTCTAAATAATAAAATTTGTAAGCTAATTTATTTAAATAAATTTACTAGTACAAATATAAAATATAAACTCAAGAAAATAAATAGAATGATTTTAGGGATATTTTTTGTCTTTACATAGATAATCCCATAGGTATTAAAATCCAATGTATTGCTAAATACCACCAAATGGAAGGTATTAGTAATACATCCTATAATACCATATAGGGTGTATAGCTAATCCATGGATTAGTTGTACTTAGGCCCAAAAATTCTACCAAACATAGTACTAATTAGTACCATACATAATACATGAACTATTTCTCATAATACTTCCTACCAAAAGACCCCTTATTGTGCTCACACATCCATTATCCTCATCTAAATTGTCTTCATCTTCTGGACGTGAACTCTACCCGTACATCTCTACCTCATAAGTTTTACATCACTAAAAGTCATTTTAATCTTATTAATAATTAAATACATTGCAAGAAAACAAATCTTATATGGGTTGATGAAGGGGCTCTCAAAGTCAATATAATTATAATAGAAGTAATTAATTTGGCCTCCAGATGCAAACCAGCAACTTCTAATAATGTAAGCTAGCTGGCCACACCATGTGAAATGGATGAAACCTGAGACTAATTTAAATGTTTTATATTCTATTCTAAACTAAAAGAAAGGCTTAGCAGAGACTTCACTATTAACGTACGCTAAACAGTGTAATTCTCCGACGAAGGGGTGTCAATTATCACCCCTTTGCATATGGTGGCTCCGCCATTGCTTTGGAAGGGACAAAAATTAAAGACCACCCTAAAATAGGGAAAGTTCGTGCAAAAACTTGTAACGTAGGTTGATCATAGCTGGAAAATATATGCAACATCAAACACATTGTTGCATCTTTAGAACATAAATTTATCGGAAGATTATCAAATACATTGCTAGCTTTTTTTAGGAAGAAGAATCATAGACAAGCAGAAAACAATGAAAGAGATGCAGCCAATGGAACAGACAGTAACGGCGAGACCAACTGAATGTTCTAAAGTAACATACATACCAGTTGCAAATGCAACTACAACTGCTGCCATTGCGGAAATCTGCAATGCAATTGCCATATTATAAATCTGGATAATAACTGTTAACTTCGTTACAGCTGATATTGCATTTGCTGCCATGGCAAAGTAGGCAAATACAGCACCAGAGGAGCATGCAAAGGCGATGGCATTCGAAACAGCAAATGCACGGAATGCTGTTCTCCTTAATAGAATTGCCATCCCTTTGTGTTAAGGCTATTAGTATTGCTTTCAAAACCTCCTGGCAGTGTGAAACCAGCTGTGAAGGTCACTGTCATTAATAGGGTGGCCACAACTAAATGCATTTGAGCTGTCTTCATAATATTTTCGACTACTTTTTCATCTCGCCTTTCTCTGTCTTCACGATCATTACCCTCCGACTCCACCTGTGGTGGAACCACCAACATCATCCCGCTGGTTGCAGAGAATAAGTGCCGCAGGAGTGTTTCTAGAACCCCAGACTCGACTGTTTCTATAACCGCAGATATGGCCATTCTTTTTTATTTAGGCTATTATACATCTAAATTTGTGATCTTGGTAATTCCTTTGCTTTCTCTGGAAGAAAGATTATATAATAAAACAATTACACTTCAATGAAAGAAATAAGTTAATAACTTTCAGCAACACTTCAATCCCTGCCCCATAATTTCATAATTTAGATTTGTAAAATATCACAATGAACAACTTAACTAGCAATGATAAAGAGTTAACCACAAACAAGGGTAATCATATATATCTAGAATAAGTTTGGTACTTGGAGCTCAAAGAAGTGCAAAGTTGATTTTAATTCCAAACTAAGAAATAATTGAAACCAACTATGATGTGCAAGATTGGACTACTACAAGAAGGAATCTGTATATAGAAATGATAGCACGAGTCTAAAACTATTACTTTTAGAGAGAAACTTAAGCAGGAATTAACACAACAAACATTGAACCAAACTTTAACCTAGAAAAAGCAGAAAGCAAAGTGATAATTAGGGAAAGCTGATTACCTTTGTGGAGCAGCGAGACAGCGAGTTTGAGAACGCTTTCCACCACAACTGATGAACTCCAAGACTGAAAATCCCAAGCTATTGGAGGTTACTTCAGTCCCAAATTTCGTGTCTCTGAAGTTGCCCATGAATAGTGAAGGAGGGGATTTTTATATTTTTTAAAATTCAAACGTTCCTTTGAGAAGATAAGTCTGAGGATAAGGAAATGGTACAAATCTCCAATGGAAGCCATCCGATTTCGAGCAACGACGAAGAGAGACGCGAGATTGAGACACCTACACTGGTTGTGCGAAAAAAAGAAAGGATGAGGAGAAGTCGTTTTGAGCTGGAGCTCGTACGAATTGTCCAGACTAATTGGGGGGAAGAACAGTGACCGGCGTATACCAATTGTTGTATGTAATGTAATGGTGTGTCAAATCCCAGACAGACATCTTGTATATGTATAGTGTTTAGATAATTGTATATATGTAATTACTATGTATATGTATCAATGATTGTATTTGTATATCTGCATCAAATTGAAATTTATATACAATTAAATCGAAATAAAATATTTGCATATCAAATATCTCTCTCTCGCTTTAAACAACACAAATTATGCATTATAATTTGTATAATGTGTGTTTGTATAAAGCGAGAAAGAGAGAAATGCAAAAGAGAACTGGTAGCGAAAGATTTGTTTTTGTATAATTATAAGTGTATAGAACGAAAATATATGTATTTATATTTGTATATACAATTTTCTCTCATTTTATACAAATAGAAACGCAATTTATACATTTGTGTTTGTATAAAGTGAGAGTGGCGAGGGAGATCTGGAAGAGTGGTGAACGAGATTTCTGGGAGAGAGACGATGACATAGTGTTTGCTACGAATTAGAATTAAAACTGTGGTTATATCATTTTATTTGAATTAATAGTTTGTTATTTTATACAATTTTTCCTTTTAATAAATAACATATTTGAAAGTGATTTTACCAATTATAACATGACTTTCTACTTTTCAATATATAACATATATTACTAACAAATAATAAATTAATAAAATAAATAAAAACAAAAAATAAATTAAGATAATTTTTAATCAACTAATTAATAATGTCATTTTCTTCATTATAGTATTCTATAACTGATAGGATATCAATACCTTATTTTCTCTCAATTAATTGGTCATTATTTCAGTTGTTATTAATCTCCTAATTAATAGTATCAATCTCCTATTTTAGTTCTTCCTTTTTTCCTTCTTTCTAGTTATTAATTTGTTTAAAAAAAATATTACCATGTAATAGTGTTTTTACTGATATCATTTTTAGGATTTTTTTTTATTTGCAATTGTTTTAAATTTTTTTTAAAATAAGCATTTTTATTTTTGGATTATGCTTTTTTTGTAATTTTGATAGATGAATATTTTATTTTTTTTTGGTATCAATTTGCATGAAGTGGATAATTAGTTTCTGTTTAAAAGTATAACATCATTTACAATTAGCATCTTTTATATATATATGTTTTAATAAATAAAAATCGTTATCAGATTTCATACGAATTTCATACTGTAAAATATTTATACATGCTATACTAAACTGTAACACCCCATAATTTTTTTGAACTAAGACTCGAACCGTTCTTCGTAGTGAGTGAGATTTTTGCAAGGAATTTAAAATTTCTTGAGTATCACCTTGAGTTCCAAGAAGAACTTAAGAGAAGAGCATTCAAGTCATTCCTAGTTTTTCTCAAGTTTTGGGTCAACTTCAAACGACCATAACTCCTAGTACAAGATGAGTTAGGTGAGCTTCAAGATAGAAAATTAAAGCCCTTCGAGTCCTCTTTCCAACGCCACCGAGTTTGCTCAATTCGGAGCTCTAAGTAAAAAGTTATAACGGATTTACTAACATCGCGCAAACCTGGCAGCAGCTCCGCGACACGGAGTGAACAAGGACCTCACTGCCTGGTGAAAAATCTTTCCGACTCCCAGCTCGTTTAAATTATTTCTTTAAGGGTATTTTAGTCCTAAAAACCATTAGGAGGTCATCTAAATTACCCTAAACGTGTAGAAAGTTAGTTTTCTTATATCAAACCCTCTCATCCACTCCAAAGATTCTACACTCAAGAAATTCAAGAAAAGCTAAGGCTAGGGTTCATCTTTCAAAGATTTCCCTTCAAGTTGCTTCAAGAGGATAATTCTTTCAGGTATGTAAGCTTCCATAGTGTTGAGTTTGTTCACCAACACGCCAATCATGTAAATTTCAGCGTTAAGTTCGTTCTAGAAAGTTTAAAATCTGATGTTATTGATATGTGTTCTTGAATTTGCTTTCATTCTTGAATTGAGCTGAGATTTAGGAGTTCTTGAGATTATTGTTTCGATTTATAGAGTAGTTTTGAGTTAGATTCTTGTGTACATGTGATTGTCATCTGAATCTAAAGAAAAGTTGAGCAAAAAAATCGAATTTAGGCGAATTGGGGTTAGAAAACGAAGAAGAAATTTCGTCGGTCGAAATTTGACGTTGGTTGCGCGTCGCGGGGCAGGTTCCCAGATTTGGGAATTTCTATTTCGCGTCGCGGAGCTGACACGGAGTGTTCTGCCCCAAAAACCATTTTCAAAACCAAAATTTAAAAGCCTCTCCGCGTCGGACCCACTCTCAAATATTGGTTTTCAAACTTTTCTCATATTTAGCTATCTAAAATCATTCCTAAACATCATGAAACTTTTCCTATCACAAATCACAACCTTGAATCCATAATTCAAGTTCAAGGTAGAGTTAAGAGTTAAGTTCTTGAGAATTCTTTCGAACATTCTAAGAAAGTCCTTTAAGTCCTTTTGAACATTTTTCAGAAAATCCCTTTTTGTCTTTTTTAGGAGTCTTCTACAAATTCTAATAACTTGTTTCAATACTCGAGCAAGTGAGTATGAGAGTGAGAATAATGTATTCATGAGTCTACCTTGTCATCATGAGATCTTTCATATCATGAACTATAACTCTTGAATTTATAATTCACATTCTAGAGAGAGTTAAGAGTAGAGTTCAAGAAAGACTTTGAGTTCAATTGTGAATCCTTTGAGATCAACTATCGATTTGAACTAAGTTTTGAAGAAGTAAGTCAGAGAATAAGAAAAGTCGTATATATGAGTTCCATATAGTTATGTAGACCATCGAGTCGAGTTCTTTCATGCCCATAATTTTGCATGAACTTCGTAAGTTGAGCATCTTTCATAGAAGTAGTATCTTCAAGTTCTAAGTCTTGAGTATCGAGTTCCTAACCCTTTCGAGATTAAAATCCTAATCACGGGACTATTACCTATTACCCATGAAGTCCATGAGTTGAGTTGTTCATGCCCATAATTTCGCATGAACATTATAAGTCGAGCAATTTTGAGATGAGAAGTATCTTTGAGTCCTTTAGTTGAGAAGTTCATGCTCATAATTCCGCATGAACCCTTGTGCTCATAATTCTGCATGAACCCTCTGAGTTGAGCATTCTTGAAATTAGTAGTATCATTGAAGTTCTTGAGTTCCAAGTATTTGAGTCTATATATGGTTAATGAAAACCTTGCATTGAGTTGTTCAAGTTCATAATTCGGCGTGAACCATATTTATACAAGTTTCTTACAAATGTTTAAACTTTGTTTTAAGACTTAAGCTTTGAAGTTCAAGTCTCTTACAAATGTTTAAACTTTGTTTTAAGACTTAAGCTTTGAAGTTGAGTAAAGAGTAAGAGTAAAGTTGAAGTTCATTTCTTCAAAAGTATATGGGGACTATGTATTCCCAAAAGAGTTTAAAATGTTTTCACATTAAATAAGAATGGAAAACTGAGATTTTCAAAAGAGCCTTTGAGCTAGTTTTTCAGTAAAGAGCCTTTGGGCTAGTTTTCTGTTAAAGATTAAATGCTTTCACAATAAAGCAAGAGAGAAAACTTTGATTTCCAAGATAGCCTTTGAGCACTAATCTCAAATCACAGAAAGAAGTATGTTTTTAAAACATAAAGAGCTAGTATATTTAGTATTGAACACCGATATGGGGGAGAGTTCAGATAACTCACAGCCCCTATAAACAATGTAGCCATCATGGGTAGAAAAGGGTCATACTTTTAGATGAATCTTTTTCGCATAGACTAGTGGATCCACTTAGTAGTTTAGGTCCTATACATGTGGCAAGGTGTAGGATGTGCTGGCAGCGTGAGGAAGATCGATGTATCATCACAATAACTCTTATGTGATGGTTTTCGGTTAGAGAAATCCCACAACAGTATTTTGTATTTTTAATTATATACATCAGATTATTTGTATTTTTACAAACATTTCATAGTTATATGTATCTTTGCATACATACATAGTAGGCATCATGTTTTAAACAACTTTTCTTTATATTGCACTGTTTAAACTGTTTCTATTGAAATGAGTTCAGTTATGTTGAGTTGAGTTGAGCCAGGTAAGTTCTTCAGTTTCCTTTCAGATTCTTTTCAGGCTTATGTTTATGCTTTAGAATTCCTCTTACATCCTCGTACATTCCACGTACTAAGCAATTTGGCCTGCATCTTCTCATGATGCAGACATAGGTATTCATGATCATCAACATGATCTTCGTTGATACATCCGAAAGTTCAAGTTAGCTATGGTGAGCCTCCTTATTTCTGAAGGATTTCATTTACTTTTCAGTTTAGTCAGGATGTCGTGGGTCTTGTCCCGACTTCCATCTTTATCAGTTAGAGGCTTCATAGATAGTCAGTATAGTTGAGAAGTCTGTAGTATTCATTTATTTTATTAAATGTTTTAAAGACTTAAGTTGTCTATTTTATGGCGAGTTGACCATATTATTTTTATTCTAAGTTGTTCATTTGAGTTAAAGTTTTTGAAGTTGAGGTTATGGAATTCTATTCAGCTTTAAGCTTTTGCATGCTTAAGTTGGTCTTCCGCTTGTAGTCAGCCAGGATGAGGGTTCGCTTGGGGACCAGCAATGGTCTTCTCGAGTGTCGGCCATGTCCAGAGTGTAGAATCATGTCGTGACAAACTTGGTATCAGAGCACAGAGTTCAAGTGTCCTAGGGTGTCTATGAAGCCATGTCAAGTAGGATATTGTTTATGGCTGTGAGGGCCCCACTTCTATAAATGAGGGACTGTAGACATTTAAGAAAAGTTTACCTTCTTTCATACTCTTAATAGTGCAATAGAGCTATGTCCTAGAGATTTTATTCTTACTCCTACGTTTCTCAGAATTCATTCGACTACCCATCATACTAGAGGTGGTTGAAAAGTAAAGTGTAAAGATCCTTATGGATGAGTTGTTCTTAGCAAGAGTCTTGAGAAATTCAAGAGACCTCAGAGGGGCTTGAGAGAAGCCCAAGAGTAATTTAAGTATTCAGTTTTAGAGGAATGCACCCATATTCATTTGAATCGTGCATTTG